TAAGAAATTCTTAACAGCTGATGTGTAACACACCAAACAGTGTTTCATCCACCATGCAAGGAGGTGGGGTGGGATGGCTGAGAGATTTCAGTAGGAGGCATATGCCTATATTAGTTACCTTTACGTTTGGAATATCACAGATTAAAATAAAAACCTAGAGATGCTACATGTGTATATATATATACATATATAGTCAAGACACAACAAAATTGCCTTCTGGTTTTCCAGATGTATGTAACAAGATTTTGGTAGAGGGCTGTAAACCTGAGAGCTCTTGAGAGGTATCAAGAGGAATCAAACTAACAATTGTACAGTCTAATGGAGGAATGCTCTTGGTTGCAGAGAACAAGCACTGAAAGGAGAGAGTCAGGTGATTATCTGATTAGCTTTAATCAAGTCACACTTTGACGTTTATCCTGAAGTGAAGGGTTTTTTCTTTCATGTCTGTATAATTTTAATTTTACATCTTATTTTTGACATTTTGATAGTGACCAATGATAGTGATTTCCATGGGAAAAATTAGTAAATTTCTAAAGTCATAAAACAAATGTTTGGGAGTACTGATTTTAAAAAGACTATAAGCTAATTCACATCACTTTCATCTGTAACGGTTCTTAAACATTTAACTTAGTCAGAATTCATTCTAATTGAAGGTTCTGTGATTATGAAAAATGAAGAGAATGACAGAATTTAATTATTTTTTTGCAGAATGCCTCTATATTTTGACTTTGAACAAAAGCATCAATAAATTTATATGAGCTCTGTGGAAAGGAAAAGAGATAATATATCATTTGGCTTAAAAAGTCTGCAATTGTTTAGTTTTCAAAAATCTCATGCATAATCATTCAAATAGAAAATGGAGTAATGGATGATTATATAACTTAAGTATATTTAAACAGGGAAATTTTACCATCTTTTTTTCCATTTTTCTCATGATTTTAAACCTGAAAACATTGCCTTTGTTCACTTTTCATCACTTGTGATAACAGAAATAAAGTGAAGGGAGATGTACATTTTAGATCAGATGATAGAATATAAACCCAAGACTATATCCAGTTTCTACTGGTTAAATATTGGAAATTATTGAAAAGATCATGGGAGAAAAGTTTTACAAGTCTTCAAGAGTATATAAGCCAATGCCCTCCCCCAGTGCTGCCTCTGGCTATATATGTGTGAATTATCACAGATGCTTACCCATGTTTTATGATGACAGAAACACTGGATGTGCCATAGCTGCCATAGCTGTTATATTTCAGTGCTAAAATATCCCTAGGATTTTTCCATAGGAAGTTTAACCTCTTCTGCAATTTAAACTTAGTACATTCAGTTGTGTCAATTTTAACATCTGATTTTTCTATTTTCCAGTATTTTCTTGTGTAGTATTCTGGAATGCTAAAATGTAATTACTTATCTAGAGAGTATAGTATGTCCTTTAACTCCACATAGGAAGCAGTGGATATTTCAATAAAATGTCTACCCTCACAAAGCTACACTTCCACTGTCTTAATCTGAAACTCCTCTTAGCTGGGGAGAGTGAAATGAAGTCAGGAGAAGAAAGAGGTGCATATGGGTTACAGTTAGTCTGGCACAACTTATCAGCTGTACTAAAAGCAGCAAAGTTTTGGAAAGTTTTATTACCTATTCCTAAAGGTGAGTCTCAAAGGTCCTGTTTGAAGACCTCAGTGTGTAGAGACATTTTTGAATTAATTTCTTCAACACCAAGTTCTTCCTTTCAGGGAGAGTATGATATTTGTGTCCAACTTGGTTTAGTTTTTCATTAGCTAGTTCACATAAGTTTTTAAAAAACTGGCTCTAAGCTGGCTGAACACGAGCCAGCAGTGTGGCCGGGTGGAAGAAGGCAAATGGCATCCTGACCTGTATCAGAAAGTGTGGCCAGCAGGACCAGAGCAGGGGTCATCCCCCTGCACTCACCACTGGTGAGGCCCCATCTCAACATCTATGTTCAGTTCTGGACCCCTCACTAGAAGAAAAACATTGAGATACTGGAGCGTGTCCAGAGAAGGGCAATGAAGCTGATGAAGAGTGGATGAGGCAGCTGGGTTTGTTAAGCTTGGAGAAAAGGAGGATCAAAGGATATTTTATCACTCTCTACAACTACCTGAAAGGAGATTATAGTGAGGTGCGGCCTCTTCTCCCAGATAACAAGACAGGATGACAGGATATGGCCTCAAGTTGCACCAGGGCAGGTTTAGATTAGATATTAGGAAGTTAATTTCTTCATGGAAAGGATGATCAAGTTGCCCAAGGAAGTGGTGGAGTCACCATCCCTGGAAGTGTTCAGAACATGTGTGGATTTGATATTTGAGTATATGGTTTAGTGTTAAACATGGTGGTGCTAGATTAGTGGTTGGATTTGATGATCTTAGAGGGTCTTTTCCCCCTTCTTCACAAGACGGGGAGAAAATTAGATAAGAAAGTTTATGGGTCAAGCTAAGGTCCAGGAGACCACTTACTGCATATTGTTATGAGCAAAACAAATTCAATTTACAGAAACCTAATTTAATTTATTGTCAATTAATAATAGAGTAGATTGATAAGAAACAAAAACAAAATAGAAAACACCTTCCTCTCATCCTGGGCCACACTCCTCCACCTTTCCAGTCTTAAATTCACCTCTTTAATAGCCAACTTATCGACATTCAGTGTTATGTCTAAAAGTTGCTGTGTGTTTTGACATTTCTTGTGATTTCATCAAAAAGATAAATAAACTGTCTAGGAATGGTTTCTATCTGTCTATAGAACATTTCTTTTGTCATTCTTATGCAATGGGTTGTGCAATATCCTAGTGGTTCTTTCTTCCTGCTTTCTTGTATCATCAGTTATTTTAATTTCTTCAAAAAATAATTAATAGAAGATAGCATTTGAATTTCAAAATATTTCACTTTGTCTCTGGTAGATGCAAAAATAAAAGCAGTACAATCAGATTTACACATGAATATGAGTTTCCATCAAGAAGAAAATGTTTAAGTTTTTTCCATGTCTGGAGTTTGGACTATTCTTATTTCAGGAAAATAATGGAAATCTAAAGTTTTTATTCCATGACAATTGTTAAAAAAATTCCAAGGCAAATTTTCCACCTGCACATCTTAATCTTCTCACTTACACAGTGGGGTGAGGGTGGAGGGTACTGTGGTATTATTTAGTGGGGTTTTTTTGTGATACGAACATAACAGAACAACAGGTCCTACAGAACAACAGAAAGCCAAGAAATTTGCATAAAGAAGGCCCAGAAGCCTGAGAGCTGAATTTGTAGAAAATATTCCTAAACTATCCCCTGTCTCAAACTAATTATTTCAAGGGTAGAATATTTTCAGGTACACCCATTGTGACCTGCATTACAAAAAAAAAAAAACAACAACAAAAAAACCCCAAAAGAATTGTATATAAAAGTGAGGAGTTGGTTTTGTTTCTTTTTTGGTTTTTTTTTTGTTTGTTTGGGGGTTTTTTTTGTTTGGTTTTTTTTGTTTGTTTGTTTTTTGTTTGTTTGTTGGGGTTTTTTGTTTGGTTGGTTTTTTGTTTGGTTTTGTTTGTTTGTTTGTTTGTTTTGTTGTTTTGTTTTGTTGTTGTTGTTGTTGTTGTTGTTTTCCCCACAAAAGAAGCTGATTGAAAATGACCTGCTAGGGAGATAATAGAGAACTGTTGCAAATCTCATGCCAAAATTACTTCTTTGGCAAATGAGCAACCCAACTTCTTCTCTAGGGAAGCAACTGTGTTTAGTGGAGATGGTACTCTCTGGAGTGCTGGCAGCTCATTGCTGCCTTCCAAGGCTCCTTCAGCAAATTGCGTAAATTCCTTATGTTGCAGTTTCATTTTGCAGTTCAGCTATTGGTCCATCTACCTTGTCCATGGCAAACATATACAGTATAATATCATATAAATAATATATACATATAAAATATAAAATGATTACATTAGCTCACGTTTGTAAACCATATAGCAAGTTAGTTGAGTGAGAATTGGATAAAACATTATATTTCTTCATGAAGTTTGTATTTACTTGCAACGTCTGACCTTTCTGATAATTGCAGTGTTTTTATTATATGTTATTATTATTTATATTATATTCTATGAATATTTTAACTCATATTTTTTCATTTTTTTTTTATTTGGTGGGGTTTTTTCACAGTATAATCTCTGTCAGATCAAAATGTCATTTTTGTAGACATGTAAGGTTGTCTTTTTCAGCCTTTGTGGAAGATCTTGGAAAAGTCATTTCTATGTGGCAAGATGAATAATTTTCTTCTTTTGGTTTGTTTTTCTGAAAATCATATGGAGGACATGTTGATCAGAAGAGTCCATAGTATTTTTTTCAGATTAATTTTGAAATAGTACAGTCATTACTAGTCTTTGACATCAGTGCAGTTCTGGGTTATCATATAATCTGTGGTCCTTTCAGGCATATTCTGATCCTGAAACACACACAGTTCTGAACTTTTGTTAACTCCTCAACTGTCACTGTCTAAGACAACTGTTTTTTCATGTGTCCTGTTAAAATAAATGGAAAGTTCATATTTTAATTTAATACAGCAACACAATACCATTCTAAAAATCTCCTTTCTTACTGACGGAGAAAGCTGTGGAGGTGCTTAATTCCACCACCAACAGAGAAAAGCAGTTAATTCTACTACTGAAGAGAATTTTTTTCTTTGTCTCCATTCTGGGTTTAGTGCTTTGTCAGCTTCACCTTCAGACATTAGTAAATGTCTGTCTAATCTACTGTAGGAAACAGTTGCCTGCTCCCCTTGAGTGCCAGTGAGGGCACAATGGTTTTTGGTGTTATTAGGAGGTTTCAATAGCCTCTAACCCTATTCATCTCAGCAGACACACTTATGGCTCTGACAATCTATTCCATTCCTTTTTGGATAAGAGCTAAATATCATTCTAAAATATCTCAAGGCATTTCACTGAAAACATCACTATTTCAAAAAGCTCAGTACAACTGACAAGACTAAATATATTTTCCTCTTTTTGTTTTCTAGTAAGTGAGCAGTGGAGCTAGAAAACTTGGCAGAACTCTTTGTCTTTCCTGCTTGTATCTGTGGAAACTGGTTTGCAAGGTAAATGTTCCATTTTAATTGACTATAATTGTATACTATTATAGTTTCTGGTGTCTAAAATGACCTCATGATACCTCTAGGTTTTAAAGAAAATGCCCATGCTTAAGCTTTCCTCTACACTTTCAGCAGTGAATTGTATTAGAATACTCTTACAACTTAAAATAATGCAATTAGTTCCTTTGGATCCATTAACAAATACACCTCCCTCTCCAGAAGAAACTAAATGTATGTCAAGATCTAGGTTATTTGTGAGTTTCTGGGCTATTGCTCCAAAATTGCCATCAATCTGAGTGAAAGAACAATTAAGATGAATGTGAATGCATTTATTATGTCAAGATGCAGTCTCTATTCTGTTATGTATTGGTGATGTTGTGTTTATTGATGGTTTTATTAGAAGGAAGACTGAAGGTGATTCTTAAGACCCCTGGCTATATTTACAGTCTTGCTGTACAGTTTTTAAAATGAGAGATTCTTATTTTTGCTCTTAAACATAGGTTTTAATAATGATATTGGAAAGGTAATCATGTTACATATTTGGACAATTTAGTTTTCTAGAGTTTAAAAATACTTCAGGGAAACTGGCTTGTTTTGAGAATTAATCATGTTACCACAGAAGGCTACTGGTTCTGTCAAGAGAATTATGTCCCTTAATACCTTCCTCAGCTTTGGCTAAGGGTCTAGGCTAAATATTACTCTTTCCTTTGACCCTGTCCTTGTCCCATCCCTTAATTTTATCTTTGAAGTTGCCTTAGCTGTCTGGAGGAAAGAATATTCGTCTCTAGTCATTCTACCATTGAAAATGGCTTTTTTAGTCACGGTGAAAAAAAGAGTTTTCAAAAACTCTCCTCTTATATGTCGTAAAGAATTGAACCACAAGCTATGCAAAAGCTGCTCCAAATGCGTGCTTTTAAATGGAGTGCTGAGCAGAAGAATTACCCCCTCTTGACAGAAGTGCCACTATTAGCTGTATGTTCAAAGTGGAAAATTGGCCCCTTTGAAATATAAAATCAGCATCCTTCCTGGCACCTGAAATTGGGGAGTGAATGTTCTACTCTTCAGCATTTGTTTAACGAGCTGAAATCCAAGGCTGTGCATTTTAATGTATTGTATTTCTTAAGCAGGGTGAGAAAGAAAATGAATCAGTTTTTGCTGTGAGTGAAACCATGCTATGAAATTGTGAGTGGTGACTGTAAAAAAAAAAAAAAAAAAAGTAGCAGCATTTCTTTCAGGGCTCCTTCTGAGGATGGAAGCCATTTGTAAATACAGAAAAAGGATGACTGGTTTTAGGAACTGCCTTTAAGGTGAGGGGCTAATAGATCCTTGGGGCAGATTAGAGTGAAACAACACTGAAAGATCAGTGTTTATAGGAGAATACATATATATATATATATGCCCTGATATATATAAATATATAATGTCCTGATACCTCCCCAGGGGGGAGGTATTACAAATGAGTGTAAAGGAGGACATTCCCATAATAAAAAGCACTATCCTGCCTCCACAGGGTCTGCTTCTTGTCAGCCTTCTCCCTTATCTATCTCAAAACCCAGCTCCTAACCTCCTGTGGTGGTGCTCACCCCTTCTCTCTTATGTGGATCAGAGGTTTTCTAATCACACACCCAAATCCTCCTCCTTCCCTCTGGCTGAGGGATGCAAACCTGGCCCCAGCAAAGCACCCTGCTGCCTCTGCAAATGGTCCATTGTTTGAGTCCTTAATCAGTCTCTCACAGCTGGTCAGTCTTGCCACCTCTCTTTTATCTACTAGAAATGGCGGAATACTTCCAGTTGTGAGGAAGAGCCTAGTCACAATGATTTTCCATGCAGATGCTTAGGCATTGAACAATCAGACTTGCCAGAAAAGTGTGGGTGGTATTGCATTTCAAAGTGGTGCTGGTGCAACTCCCCAGGCTTCATGCTTACATGGGTCTCTTCTATTTGAGTTTGTAAATCCAACAGAAGTGGGGAATCAGAAGTCTGATGGCTAAAGCCACAATTTTACAAGAACTTAATCACAATTTTCATGATTATGCTGCATTTTGTTTAATGAAAAGTTAGGCATGTACTTAAACACTTGCAGAATTGGAATATATTTGGCTCAATGGCAGCTAAAGAAGTGAGATTGAAAATGTTGAGTAAAATTTCCAAAGCATCTATGTGTGACATAGCAGCAGGTATGAGCTGGTTTTTCTGTGTCATGTGTGATAATTTGGTATCTTAAGCAAGATAGAAATGACAAAAAATTAATATAATGTTTTTAAATACCATTGACAAATAATATTTAATTTCATTCCAAAATACACTTATGATGATTTTTTATCCACAATAACCACTTCTGACCTAGTGGACTTCCTTTGGCTGTATGTGTAATTAAATCTGAAGATGCTAGTGATTCTAATGAGTTATGTGCAATTTTTGACATTGACATTTCAATAGCAAAACACCATTATTGAGTTTGGAGTTAACAATATGTTACTGCCAGTGAGAATAGATTAATCTGTCTTTATGATGATGATGTTGTATGGGGTAATGAGATGTTTTTAATCAACCAAAAGGGTAGGTTTAGAGTTGTAATTTGAACATTTTATTTTTAAAAACTTTGGAGAATTATTGTGAAGTAAATTGTCTTTTATTCTGTCTTTTCCTCCTTCTGAAAAGATCCATTACTGCCTATTTAACTTGTTTTCCTATTGTTAACCAACACTGCTGTAAGAACTGATTGTTACCCTCAGTTTCAGCCTACCAGGGTGTCAGGTAATTTTTGTATTATCAGATATAACCAAACATTGTATGAGTGCAATACTTGTCTAGAAATAATTAACTATTATTCTAAAGTATTCTATATTCACTTATATTTCTGATGCTTAAGGATCTCTATTTCTTGAGTAACTTCCCTGAATGTGATATATTGAATTTTTATATTGAGGAAAAAATGCATCTCTTTAACAGTCCTAGAGGAGAAAACAAAAAAAAATTCTAGATGATTGTAATTTTTTTCTACTTTATTCTATGAATCTAGATTTTTTAAAGTACTTATCCAGGGGTATGGTAGTCTAAGTAGTTAACATTTCTCATATCTCTGAGTGTACCAGGTCTGGTTGCCTAAAAATAAGTCAAGGTTATCATAGCTGCTATGCTTTTGAGAGAGGAAGCTACTGTTCTCCATTCTAAAATGGAAAATTTGAATAGTTTTGTTGAAATAACTATAAGTACATACAATATGATATGTAAATAAAAAGAGTAAATCCCCTCAGGTTTAAAGCATCTAAATTTTAATCCACATGGTTGACTAATCTCTGACAATTCAACCTAGTACCTTCAAAAGTAACAAGTGACTTCAATCAGATCATACAGCCTTAAGGGATCTGATTTTCACTAAATTCTGACCATTCCTTTTATGAAATTCAGGGTTTTTTTAAATTCAAAATGCATACCCATAAAGTCACTTAGAGAGATCTTTGCTTACACTGGATCTACAAGACTTGCTGATTCTTGAAACGGCCAGAATAAATTAAAGGAATCCATTTCATCCTTTCGCGGTGTTATCTTGAGCTGTTATGTATGCAGTCATCTGCATATATTTCTCTGAGTTGTAATTGGAATTACATTCTAATTGTAATAGGACTTTAAGTAAGTGTTAGGATTTATTTGGGAGTCCTTAAGTTTGCTGAATATGAGTGTTGATTTTCCAGATGAAATTCAGAAATAAGTTCTGGAGTATGGACTTGAGGGATATACACTCCAATAGAATCAAAAAATGTTTAAAACTGATGTACAACAAATAAGACCTTTCTCTGGAGAGATGTGCAGTTCATTCAGTGAAGACACTCCAGTTTCTTCCCCGATCTCTCCAAACATTAAGTCATGTCTATATTTACAGGGGTCTAGAATTGTGGTTTGGAAAATAGAAACTTAATCTCAGTGTTCTTTGTTTTAGAAAAGTAAGGATGTCAAGCAGAGCTGAATAAAAATCTTAGAGAAACAGTCTGCTGGAAAAAGGGAAGCTACAATCCACAAATAAAATGATGTTTTCTTTATGGGTGGAAATGTTGCAAGACTTTGTCATACAGCTACTCTGAAGCCACTTCCTATGTTTTGCAGAAGATAAAGCCATAAGAAAAGGTAGATCTGTTGCTTCCTGTCAGTATCAATGTTTCCATTTTCTATCTTAAGCAATACACCATTTTAATACACCATTGTGTATCTTCCTTGAAACAATGAGTTCAGTCCTTCCTTGACTTTCCTTCATGCCTCACTCACAGTTCTCCCGTGCAGCTTTAAATCTTTCCAGTTTGCATTTTCATCATTGCAGCCCAATCTTTGGTATGGAATTTTAAAATGAGAGCTCATCATAGTAAAGTACTGTGCTGCATTTCATTAATCAGAAAGTATATGAGCAGGAAAAAAAGCAATAACTTTGTATACTATTACTGTCAATACAAGGGTGACACTTGAGCTACCGCAATAATAAGAGATAAAAGGAGACTTTAGCAAGATAATATATGTAACTGTTTAAAACTGAACTGAGTGGGTTGCTTTATCTTGGTGTTGAAAGAAGAATTTTCATACCTAAAACTGGTTTTCTGTTTCTGACTGGCAAATGCCAAACCAAACCAGATCAAACTATAAATGATGATCTTTAAGGTACCTTCCACCCCAGGCTGTTCTATGATTCTATGATAAAAAATATGTTATATAACAGCAGCCTGCTGATATACAGATTTTTAATAACTATATAGCTGATCATATTTTTACACTTTTAATTCTTCTACATTTATTTTTAATGTAGCTATGATTTCTGATGTATTTTGTCAGTACCAGTAAAAATTGTATAGAAGCTTTCAACATTGTCTCTTTCTTGAAAAACAAGTTTCAGAGCTTTATTTCATCCTTGTTTACTGCATCAGTATGAAATAAATCATCCCTAGACTAGAAGATCATTCCCAGACTCACTGTATATTTAAGTCTAATCATGAAGGTCACTGCCTTCTGCCTCATTTTAC